GGGGGGGGGGGGGGTCTCATGCATTGATTCTTGAAAATAAAGGTTGCAAACATACATGCATGCGTTTTTAAAACCTAAAATCTAGTGAACAGGAATTGGGTAGGAGTAAAGAATTGTACAAAGAGGGGTTGATAACCTAAATAAGTTTGAGTAGCAATTGTGAACTCCAATTTTAAGATATATGTGTTAACTTGTGCACTAGATTGACGTTGCTAGACTATTTGGTGAATTGAAAGTAGAAGTTGGAATGGAATTCGGCTCCAGGTATGTATGGCTAACTTTGGCCTTTGTAAAATTACTTTGTGTGGTGTACCAATACTTGGTATGTGATATCTACATGAATTATTTGTGAAATTCTTGTGGTTGGTATGGTTTGAGTGTTTGTGGTTAAGTCTCCCGATATAATGGTGTAAGTAATTGGCAATAAACCAAATGTGTGATTGTGAACGTGTTATATGGTAAGAGTTTAGCAACAAATGATGGAAAGAAATTGTAATTGATGCAATAGAAACAACTGTGGTAATCACATGTATGTCTTGTTGTGAGAAATTATCGTGGTGACTTAAATTGCATATGAGTTGTTGAAAATGATGGAAGAGGTATTGATGGTTATGGAAATTCTTTGTGAATTGTTGTGTGTGTTGTAGTTTGTGAATTGTTGTTGTTGTTGATGTTGTTTGTGAATTGTTGTTGTTGTTTGTGAATTGTGATCTTTCGGTGGGATCGGGTTGCGCGCCGCAACACGAAGTAATAAGGTGTGGTTTGTGGTGATAAGTGTGGCCGAGGTAATAAGGGTGGAAAGTGATCGAAATCACTATTGAAATGAAAATATGAGAAAATTGTGAAATGGTTGATGTGTTAATGTTGAATGGGAGAAAGGAGAGATTGTAAACTTGTTTGGCTTGATTGTTCCTTTCATGTGTATTTGATTGTTGGTTCTATTACTGCTCGTTACATGTGTATGGTTTGAGTTTACTTAGGGAAAAGTTTGTTCATACATACCAGTACAATTCAAATGTACTGACGCCCCTTTTGCCGGGGGCACTACATTCGTGTTATGATTGTAGGTGGATCCATAGCAGGTACTCCAGTCCACCGACCGTAGCTCCCCTTCACTTCCCGTCACCTGTATTTGTGATCCCCTTTCCTCTCGGGGCCCTGCGTGGCTCATGCCGCTTTTATTCCAGAGTCTTGTTTAGTTTTTGTGTAAGGTATAGCCGGAGCCTTGTTACCGGCAAGTATTGTATTATCCTTTTGTATCCTTAGAGGCTCCGTAGACAGGAAATGCGGGTTATGAACTTATGTAAATATGTATTTTGAATGTTGGGCGATGTAAGTTGTAAACCTCATTATGTAACCATGTATGTTATGTATGTTTTGTAAAGAGGTGTTTTAATTATAAATGGCTATTTCCTTGATTAATGAGCAATGAAAATACGGGGTAACACGTGGGATAGGAAAGGCACCCAGGTCCGCTTGACTGGGGCTACCCGGTCGGGCGCTGGTCATGTCCCTCGGCATTGGGCGTGACAAACTTGGTATCAGAGCCTAAGGTTTTAAAAGAGTCCTAGGATGTCTCGGAGCCGTGTCTAGTAGAGCCCTACTTATCGGTGTGAAGTCGACAACATCTATAAGTGGGGGGCTGCATGGACATTTAGGAAATTACCCACTTCTTTGTTATTCTATATCATGCGGTAAAGTGAAACGTGAAAGTATCTATGTCTAACTCGTGCTCTGTTCTGAATTTTTCAGTAATGGCACCTAAGAAGAGAGCTAGACTTGGCCTTGGGGCCAATGCCACCTCGAGTGAGGCTATGAATCATGTACCTGATGTCGTGGGTGAGAGTGACTCCCCGGTCTTGAATCTACCTGGCCCGTCTATCCCAGACCAAAGTGTTCTTGTTCCTGTTGCGGCAGAGGGTGCTACCATCCCTCCCGCCGATATTCCTGATTCTGATACAGTTCCAGCTCCCGGTCTCGAGGTTCCTGATGAGGACCTTAGATGAGCCATCGGTATGTTGACCCAGCTAGTGGCCGCTCAGGACCAGAGATCTCATGATGCCCCTACATCCTCCAGCGAACAGGGAGATTCCGCTAGTTCAAGAGTCGACCAGTTTATGCGGTTAGCCCCTCCAAAGTTCTCAGGCACAAACCCAGAGGCCGATCCGCAGGATTTCCTTATGAAATGTATAAGACCCTTCGAGTGATGAAGGCTTCAGAGACGAAGGGAGTTGAGTTGGCTTCATACAGGTTGAAGGAAGCAGCGTATTTGTGGTTCGAGATGTGGGAGGATTCCCGTGGGGAGGGAAGACCTCCGGCTAGAAGGGATGAGTTCATGGATGCATTTATGGACCATTTCTTGCCTGTCGAGACGATGGCAGCCCGTGTCACTAAGTTTGAGGTCCTCAAGAAGGGCAGTATGAGTGTTTGGGAGTACCACATGGAGTTTGTGAGATTGTCCAAGTATGCACCTCAGTTAGTGTCGACCATGGATGCTCGAGTTCGGCGATTTGTTTAGGGCCTTAGTCCTTTGGTGGTGAATGAGGCGGTTACAGCGGCCATACACTGGGATATGAATTATGGGAAGATTGTGGGATTCGCTCAGGCCACAGAGGCTAGGAAGTTGAAGACACGGGTGGAAATGGAGAGTAGCAGCAGGGCCCGATCAGTGGGTCACTCAAGAAGGCCAGCTCAGGGGAGAGGGTCATCAGGGCCATCCCAGTCATATGTTCAGTCCTCAGGAGCGCACCACCATCTGTGCACAGTTATCAGCAGAGCAGCCACATGAGACCAGGTTCAGACAGTAGGAGACCCCATCAATCCGATCGTTCGGGAGAGAGATCACAGCAGCAAGGGAGGACACCATGCCCCAAGTGTGGGAGATTCCATTCAGAGACTTGTTATTTGGATATCCCAGTGTGTTTTAGATGCGGGGTGAGAGGTCATATCCAGCGGGACTGCCGTGTGCCCAGTCAGGGCATGGGTAGGGGATTTGCTCAGTCATCCGGTTCTTCGATTGCCATATCATCTGTGCATCCTCCAGCACCAGCAGGACGTGGTGTAGTTAGGGGTGGAGCTCGCAGTAGAGGTGGACCCAGTTGGTTTTATGCTTTGAGTGGTCGCCAGAGTGCAGAGGCTTCTCCAGATGTGGTTATAGGTATCTTGTCCATTCAGGCTATTGATTGCTATGCTCTTATTGATCCGGGGTCCTCTTTGTCTTATGTCATCCCATTCATTGCGTCATGTTTTGGGATAGAACCAGAACAGCTTCATGAGCCGTTCTCCGTATCGACTCCGGTTGCCGATTCTATTACAGCCGCGCGAGTTTATAGGAATTGTGTTGTCACGGTATGTGGTCGTGTTACCACGATCGATCTTATCGAGCTTGGAATGGTGAATTTCGATGTGATAATGGGAATGGACTGGCTTTATTCGTGCTTTGCTAAACTTAACTACCGAACAAGAGTCATGAGACTCAAGTTCCCTAATTAGCCGGTTATCGAGTGGAAGGGGAATTCTGTGGTGCCGAAGGGTAGTTTTATTTCCTACCTTAAGGCTTCAAAGATGATTAAGAAGGGATGTATCTATCATTTGGTCCAGGTGGCGGACACCACTTAAGAAGTGTCTACCCTCGAGTCCGTGCCAGTCATGAACGAGTTTCTTGAAGTGTTTTCGGACGAGCTTCCAGGGATTCCGCCAGATAGGGAGATTGATTTCGGGATTGATGTATTGCCAGATACGCAGCCAATATCTATTCCACTATAAAGAATGGCTCCAGCAGAGTTAAGGAAGTTAAAGGAGCAGCTGAAGGATTTATTAGAAAAGGGGTTCATACGGCCGAGTATGTCGTCGTGGGGTGCTCCGGTTCTCTTTGTCAGGAAGAAGGATAGGTCTCTCCGGATGTATATTGATTATCGGCAGCTCAACAAAGTCACCATCAAGAATAAATATCCTATGCCTCGGATAGATGATTTATTCGACCAATTGCAAGGTGCAAGGTTTTTCTCTAAAATTGATCTCCGGCCCGGGTATCACCAATTGAAGATTATGGAGCAGGATATTCCTAAGACTGCTTTCAGAACTGGCTATGGTCCCTTTGAATTCTTGGTCATGTCATTTGGCTAACCAACGCCCCGACAGCTTTTATGGATCTTATGAATCGGGTCTTCAAGCCATTTCTAGACTCCTTCGTGATTGATTTCATTGACGACATCCTTGTTTATACGCGAAGCTGGGAGGATCATGCCGATCACCTCAGGGCAGTTCTACAGACTCTTCATCAACACCAGTTGTATGCTAAATTTTCAAAATGTGAGTTTTGGTTGGAGTCTGTTGCCTTTTTGGTCATGTTGTCTCCGGTGAAGGGATTCAGGTGGATCCCCAGAAGATTGTAGCAGTAAATGATTGGCCTAGACCCACGACCCCGATGGAGATTCGTAGCTTCTTGGGAATAGCAGGGTATTATCGGTGGTTTTTGGAGGGATTTTCTACCCTCGCCTCCCCATTGACTAAGCTGACGCAGAAAGCAGTTAAGTTCCAGTGGTACGACGCTTGCGAGAAAATTTTTCAGGAATTGAAGTCAAGGTTGACCTCGGCACCAATATTGACCTTGCCGGAAGGCACGAAAGGATTTGTGGTTTATTGCGATGCCTCCAGAGTTGGTTTGGGGTGTGTGCTGATGCAACATGGGAAGGTTATAGTGTATGCTTCGAGGCAGCTCAAGAATCACAAGAAAAATTATCCGACGCGTGATTTGGAGCTTGCGGTAGTTGTATGTGCTTCGAAAATATGGCGGCATTATCTTTATGGGGTCCATGTGGATGTGTTTTAAGACCACAAGAGCCTCCAGTATTTGTTCAAGCAGAAAGAATGGAATTTAATGCAGCGACGGTGGTTAGAATTGCTCAAGGATTATGATATGAATATTTTCTACCATCCAGGGAAGGCGAACGTGGTGGCTGATGCTCCCAGTCAGAAGTCTATGAGTAGTTTGGCTCATTTGGGAGCGGATCAGAGGTCCTTGGCTCGGGAGATTTATTAATTTGCCAGTCTAGGGGTTTGCATTTCGGCCTCAAACGTGGGGGATATTATGATGCATAATGGAGCAGAATCGTCACTTGTAGCGGAAGTCAAGGAAAAGCAGTTTATTGATCCAGCATTGGCTCAGATGAAGGAAGCAGTTTTGAATAACAAGACTTCGGCAGTTTCACTCGGCAAGGAGGATGGTGTATTGCGATGTCAAGGTAGGCTATGTGTTCCGGATGTGGATAAGCTTCGGGAGAGGGTAATGGCGGAGGCTTATAATTCCAGGTATTCCGTGCACCCAAGTTCTACGAAAATGTATCATGATCTCAAGGAAATTTATTGGTGGAACGGTATGAAGAGGGGTGTGGCGCACTTTGTATCTAAATGTCCGAATTGTATGCAAGTAAAAGCTGAGCATCAGCGGCCCGGTGGGTTAACTCAGCTTATGGAAATACCATTGTGGAAATGGGAGATGATCAACATGGATTTAGTGGTGGGGTTACCTTGCACTCGGCACAAGTTTGACTTAATTTGGGTAATAGTGGATCGACTCACCAAATCAGCTCACTTCTTGCCAGTCAAGTCCACTGATACTGCATAATAGTATGCTAAGTTGTATATCAAGGAAATAGTAAGGTTTCATGGCACTCCACTTTCTATTATCTCAGATCGAGGAGCCCACTTCACAGCTAATTTTTGGAAGAAGTTTCAGCAAGGTTTGGGTACTCAGGTGAATCTCAGCACGGCTTTCCATCCACGGACTGACGGTCAAGCAGAGCGGACTATTCAGACGCTTGAAGATATGTTGCGGGCTTGTGTCTTGGATTTCAAAGGTAATTGGGATGATCACTTGCCACTTATAGAATTTGCCTACAATAACAGCTTTCATGCCAGCATTCAGATGGCCCCATTTGAGGCACTGTACGGAAGGAGGTGTAGGCCTCCGATTGGATAATTTGAAGTGGGTGAAGCAGAACTGATCGGGCCAGATCTCGTGCACTAGGCTATGGAGAAAGTAAAAGTCATTCAGGAAAGGATTAAAACTGCTCAGAGTCGTCAGAAATCCTATGCGGATGTTCTTCGAAGAGAATTGGAATTTCAAATTGATGATTGGGTGTTCTTGAGGGTATCTCCTATGAAGGGAGTCATGCGATTCGGGAAAAAGGGGAAGTTGAGTCCTAGGTATGTCGGGTCGTGTCGGATCGCTCAAAGGATAGCGCAGGTGGCTAATAAGCTGGAATTGCCTCCTGAAATGTCATTAGTGCACCCGGTGTTCCATGTGTCCATGTTAAAGAAAGTGGTTGAGATCCATCCACCATTGTGCCAGTCGAAACCATCGAGGTTAATGAAGAGTTGTCGTCTGAAGCAGTTCCGGTTGCTATCCTTGATAGGCAAGTCCGTAAATTGATAAATTAGGAAGTTGCTTCAGTTAAAGTATTATGGCGAAGTCAACGAGTTGAGGAAGCCACATGGGAAGCGGAAAATGAAATGAAGAAAAAATATCCCCATCTGTTTGAACAAGTCTAGTAGTAATCGTGCGAACTCTTATCTCTAAAAGAACTGATATTGTGTCCAAATTGGTGTAAAGACACCCCATCTTTTCTTCCTAAATGCTTTGCTATTGAAATCCATCTAGTGGTACAAGACTTGAATGTGTTGTGATTGTTTAAGTCATGTGAACCTCTTTTTGGTAAATGAAAGTTTTATAAAGACTCATGGGATAAGTAAACAACTAATGGTAGTGTAGAGTGGTATTGATTAATTGAAATGCATGTAGTATGTTAAAGTGGTTAACTTGTATGGGACTCCTTCAAATGACTAATTTATGTGCAAAATGTAGCAAGTGATTGAGTACATGCAATTGTTGAGGTAATGTCACGCCCCAGAAACCGAGGAGCGCGACCGGCTCTCAACCGAGAGAACCCGACTGAGCAAGCCTGCTAGGTTTCATTCTACCCAAACCGATTCATGAATAAATAGGAGATG